ATGTGGCTACTGGGGCAAACTGGGCAAACTGGGGCCCGGCCTGCGCTTTGGGGGGGTCGGCGGGGTGACATCTGTGTGTTGGGGCGCTGGGACAGGCTAACGAGGACGGGGCACAGGCGATTACCGGTGCCGGTACAGGTAAATGAGGAGCCGCACGGTGTTTGGGGGGTTCCCAGCGTGCGGAAGCCGGTCCGGGTGAAGGAGGACGGGGTACAGGCGGTTACCGACGTGCGCGAGGGGGTACAGGCAGCGGGGGGGCTGGCGCGGTGTTTGGGGTTACTGCGCCATGCCCGGTTGGCGCGGGCTCCCCGGGGCTGGTGTACAAAGGGTGGTACCGGCGAAGAGAGGGTTGGCGGTGCGATAGGCCCCCATCTCTGGGCCTAGGAGACTTCAACACTAGCGCCAAGGCTCCCGGGTTGGGAAGGTTACAAGAGATCCTGTGGTTTAATAGCAAGGTATTACAGCGTACCCGGAAAGGTTACTGATCGACACGTGCTTAGTACTACATCTTCGGCCGGGCTGCGTTCTCTCCCATTTCTAATCCCGGCTTTCGCGTAGGACGTAGGAGAGGCCATGTTTCCCTGAGGAGTCGTAACTGTCATGGTAGGGGAGGCCGACCCACTCGGGCGGGTATGTCATGGTGCTGTACACGAAGCACTCCACGACGCCGTCGGCAGGCGCCCGCGCCCCCCCCCCGCCCCCCCCCCTCCCCCTGCGCCTCTGCCCCGGGTGCCGGCGGGGCGGGGCTGGCAGCCGGCAGCCCCGAGAAAGGTCTGTCCCCGCGGAGGTGGGAGAAATGGGGGCCGGGGGGTTTGCCGGCCTGGTCCGTGCTGGGAGAGCCCCCCTGGGGAAGCCAGGCTGGTGCCCGGGGCCTGCTCTCGGCCCGGTGTGCCCTGCTGGCCTTCCCCGGGGCGCCCGGCGGGGCCGCGGTGCTCCTCCAACATGGCGTTTCTTCTCTCCTCCCTTCTCTTGCAGGCAACGCTCGCCCCAAGCCGCCTGTCCGGCCCAAACCCCGGGTGCTGCCCAAGCCGGCTGTGCCCACCAAGCCCTCCCTGCCGCACCCTCTGCCGGGTCTGGGGCCGCGACACCCTCGCCCAGAGCTGCCCTCTGCCGAGAAGATGAACCGGCTGGCGGGGCCCCAGCCCTACGGCGGGGGCAGCTCGGGGGGGCCCCTCAGGCGCCCCTCCTTCACCCTCAAGTCACCCGAGACCCCCAACGGGAAGGGGCTCCCGTCTCCTCTGGTCGCAGCCGCCGAGGACTCGGGTTCGACCCCCGGCGAGGAGGTGCCCCCTGCCCCGCCGACGCCCCCTCGCAAAGGCCCCACTGCCTTCAAGGTGACGCCGGTGCCGGTGGCGTCCAAACCGGAGCGATTTCCTGGCACCACCGTGGAAGAGATCCTGGCCAAAATGGACAGCAGGGAGGGCCCGGGGAGCCCGGACCGGGCCCGGCTCTCACCCTTTTGCCCCGATCCCTCCTCTCGCTTCGGCTCCAAGACCTTTACCGCCTTCCGGAGGCGCCCCAGCGGGGAGGCGGATGGAGCCCCCCCCGGCGAAGCCCGCCAGACCCCCCAGCCCACGGTGGGCGAGCCGGGGACGGGGGATGACGGACACCCGATTGCCGAGATGAGGTGAGGGACCGGGGGCTGGCCTGGGGGGATGAGAGGCTGCGGGAATGGGAATAACGGAGCTGAGGTCCGGTCACCAGCACGAGGCCGGGGTTCCTCCTAAGCCGGCAGCGCCTTGAGCGGCCTCCGTGGGAAGGCCGGGGCAGCCGCACAGCGCCGGGCGGTTTGTTCAGACCGCAGGAACGGGCTGTCCCGGTTGAGGAGCTGCCTCTGTGCCTGTGGCCCCCGGGGGCTGGGAAGCGAGCCAGCTGGCCGTCCCGCTGCCTGGACAGGGGCCGCCCCGAGGCTGGGAATAGCGGGGAGGGGGTCGCTCCCTGGGGAAATGCTCCCTTTTTCCCACCCTTGCTATTTTTTTTCCCGCCGGGCCATGCCAAGGCGGAGGGAGCCGGCAGATCTGCGGCACTCCTGGCTGCGGGATGTCCTGGGTGAGAGCCAGCGCTTGGCCATGCTCCCGAAAGCCGGGCACCTCCGGGAGAGCGAGATGGGGGCTATTTTAAACCCGAGTGTGAGAAACTCGCTCTCCAAAGGACCGAAAACTTTCCGGAAAGGGGATTGTGGCCGGTTGCCTCCCTCCCCTCTGCAGTCAAAGCCTCGCTGAGAGCTGAGTGCCGGTTTTGGGTACGGCTCGCAGTGATTGGGAGGCCTCTTGCAGTTCGCCCGACCCCATCCTCTTGCGGCCAGGGCGGGTGGTTTGGGGCCGGAAGGTGCCTGGGCGGGCGGTGGGAGAGGAGGGCAGAGGCGCACGGGAGGAATTTACCCTCCTTCCCCATTTCTCTCTGCCAGCGGCTCCCCCCCAGCCGGCCCGAGCTGTGCCGTGGCGCC